AGCAAAACCCTCTTTAACCCACCAAGGCTTTTGGCACGTCGTCAAAACCTTTTTTGCACCTGCTAAGCTAATACAACAAAACAGTTCCTGCAGAACAAGCTGATTTGTTCAACTCCTTAAGAGTTATTCCTAAGACGCAAACTAGTTCCAACTGTCGTTACCTGGAGATGACTCTGGACTGACCTGGTCGTACTGCAAGTTAATCTACGGACTTCGGTACCTGGGGTCTCCGACCCCCCCCCCCCCCCCCCCCCCTGACATCTCTGATCCAAAAAGGGCATCTCCACTTGGGTACGTAGAACACAGTGACATTATGTCTAGATGTGTTTTGTGATAATAATCAACTTCATAGCTTAACACAAACCAAATTCTTTTGCATCCAGAACTCAGCTCTCCTAGATACGTAAGTTCTGACTAACATCGCATTCACACATAGGTTTCATACATCACATCTAGTTCCATCCATCACAGTACATGCTTAGTAACTTGTCATGTTTTAATTGTTGGTAAAATAAATTCTTACTTTAAAAAACCTGAATGTTTTCTGAATCAAAACGAAGTGTGTACAATCTTCTGATTTAAGCACAATTAAGACCAGGCAGGGTGATATTCTATATTTAGATAGAGTATCACAGCTTATTGGTCATAAGTAGAGGTAATATATGTATTGAGCTGTCCAGATGATGAACGGCTGCTGAGACCCCTTGAGGGAATGGAGCCACTCCTCCAAAGCCACCTTGATGGCCAAAAGTTCCCAGTCCCCCACGTCGTAGTTCCTCTCTGCGGGCGACAGTTTATGGGACAGAAAGGCACATGGGTGGATGTGGTTGTCGACAACCGACCACTGGGACAAGACCACCCCAACACCTGAGGCTGAAGCATCCACCTCCGGCACAAACTGAAGCACGGGGTCAGGAATGGTGAGTATAGGAGCCGAGACAAAGATATCCTTCAACCTGCAAAAGGCTGCATTAGCTCGGGGAGACCACACCAACCTGGATGACAGAAATCAGGGCATGCAAGGGGGCCGCGATAGTGCTGAAGCCTCTGATGAACTTCCCATAAAAGTTGGCAAACCCCAGAAACCGCTGCACATCTCTCCTGGAAGTCAGAACCGGCCAGTCGCTAACCGCCACCACCTTGTCAGGGTCCATCTGGATCCTGCTCTGCCCCACAATGGCACTAAGAAAACAGAGCAAACATGGAGCTCGCACTTCTCTGCCTTAACAAAAAGGCCACGATGGAGAAGGCGCTGGAGAACCCAACCAACATGGTCAGTGTGTGACTGTAAATCAGGAGAGAAGACAAGAATGTCATCCAAATAAACAAAAACAAAGGTTTTGACCATGTCTCTAAGGACTTCATTTATCAGTGACTGAAAGACAGCGGGAGCATTAGTGAGGCCGAATGGCATTATCAAGTACTCGTAATGTCCACTAGGGTGTTAAAAGCAGTCTTCCATTTGTCCCCCTCCCGCATTCTTGTAGTTTAACACACCCCTCTGCAATTTCTGTACTGTTACCCACCCACTACCCCGTTGAGACCGTGTCCTCCCCACAACCAAAATCACACAGATTAAATATCACGCTTAATAAAGCAAATCATGACAATCTCATAAATATTAGAACAAATTCAACTGAGCAGAAAACTAGAAAAATTAAATGTGGGTTATTGAACATTAGATCTATTTATTCTAAGACTTTGTTAGTTAATGACTTGATTTGTGATAATCAGATCTCTTTGCTCTCTCACAGAATCCTAGCTGCAGCAAGAGGACTATGCTAGTTTAAATGAGTTGACTCCTTCTAAATATTTAACTCATCATATTGCTCGAAGTACAGGGTGAGGAGGAGTAGCAACCATTTTTCATTCAGACCTATTAATCAATCCCTTACTAATTAATAGTTACAGTTCTTTTGAACATCTTATTCTTAGTTTTCCTAATCCAGATTGGAAAACTGTAAAACCACTCTTGTTTGTAGTTTTGTATCGTCCACCAGGCCCTTACTCTTGAGTTTTTAGATCAAATCTCTGATATTTTTTTTTATCTGATGCTCAATACTGATAAGGTCATTGTAGTGGGGGATTTTAACATTCATGTGGACTTTGAAAATGATAGCCTCAATGTAGCTTTTAGTAATATTCTAGACTGAATTGGTTATCCCCAAAGACTACATAGCTCTACCCACTCCTGCCATCATACATTAGACCTTGTGCTGACTTATGGCATAGCGTGTGGGGAAATAATGACATTTCCACATTATCCAGTCCTCTCGGACCACTTTTTTTGATAACCTTGTTGCATCTTTTAAATCAACTGTTCCATCTTTACTATCTTCAGCATCTCAGAGGAACGTAGCAGAGGGCAATATTTTCATTTCTAGCCCCTCACAAATTGATGCTTTAGTTCACAATGTTACTTCCTCTTTATGTGTGGCATTAGATGATGTTGCCCCTTGAAAAAGAAGATAATAAGGGATGGGAAGTTGGTTCCCTGGTTTAATTCTCATTTACAAACTTTAAAACAAAACTCTGGAAAATTGGAGAGAATATGGCACTCTACCCACCAGGAGAAGTCCTACTTATCCTGGAAAAATAGTCTTGTGCTTTTTAAAAATAAGCTTCAACAAGCTAGAACTGCTTATTTTTCCATCGCTAATTGAAGAGAATAAGAATAATCCAAAATTTCTTTTCCAAACTTACACAGAATCATAGCTCAGAACCATCTATTCCTTTAGCCCTCTGCAGCAACGACTTTATGGGATTTTTCACAAGTAAAATGAATTCTATTAGAAACCAAATCTTAAGCATCCTCCCTAATGCGATTTCTTCTTCCTCAGTAAGTGAGGCAGCATCAGAGGTAACTGTAGAATCTCATCTGTGTTTGAACCGTTTTGATCCAGTTGAGCTTTCAGAGTTATCAAAAATATTAGCTTCATCTAAACCTTCAACTTGCATTTTAGATCCAATCCCAAACAAATTATTTGAAGAAGCATTTCCTTTGGTTACTGCCCCCATTCTAAATATAATCAATCTATCCTTACTAAATGGATATGTACCACAAGATTTTAAGGTAGCTGTAATCAAATCTTTACTTAAGAAGCCTTCTCTGGATCCAGATGACCCAATGAATTACAGACCAATATCCAACCTTCCATTTTTATGCAAAGTCCTTGAGAAAATAATGGCCATCCAACATAAAAAAACACAAAAATTCGATGTCTCAAAACTTTTTGCTTTTAAATCAAGACAAGATGGAAGTTCTCATCTTTGGACCTGAAATTCAGAAAAGGAAATTGCTTAGTCAATCACCTGACCTGAATGGCATTACATTAATCTCCGAGAACAAACTAAGGAACCTTGGTGTTATCTTTGACCAGGACATGCCATTCAAATCCCAGGTTTAACAGGTTTGTAGGATTTTCTTTTTTTCCACCTTTGGAATATTGCTAAGATTACAAGCATCCTTTCCAGGAGTGATGCTGAAAAACTAGTTCATGTATTTATTACATCAAGACTGGATTACTGTAATTCATTACGATCAGGAAGTCCACAGAATGTAGTTAAAAGTCTTCAGCTTGTCTAAAATGCTGCAGCTGGAGTTCTGATGAGAATTAAAAAGAGAGATCATATCTCTCCTGTCTTAGCTTCCCTACATTGGCTACCTGTTAAATTCAGAATAGACTCTAAGATCCTTCTTCTCACATATAAAGCTCTTAACAATCAAGCTCCATCATACATCAGTGACCTGATAGTTCCATATGTTCCTAACCGAGCACTTCGCTCTCAGACTGCAGGTCTACTGGTGGTTCCTACAATATCTAAAATTAGCATGGGAGGCAGGTCTTTTAGTTATCAGGCTCCTCTCCTGTGGAACCAGCTCCCAGCTTTAGTCCGTGAGGCAGACACCTTGTCTACTTTTAAGACTAGGCTTAAAACATTTTTATTTGATAGGGCCTATGGTTAAAATCTGATGTTAGCCCAGATCTGGACAAGTGGGGGAGTACAGGGAGGTGGAGTATACAGTCGGTAAAGACGGCTCTCCCTTGCCCTGCCTCCATCTCAAAGGCTAGGTTATCCAGAGTTATCTCTGTAGTTATGCTGCTATAGGCTTAGACTGCTAGAAGATAGACTGACCACTTTACACACTCTACTACTTTCTTCTACAATCTGCTCTTTAAATGTATTATTTCCTGGTATGTCAGAGAAAAAAATAAAGTTAACAGCTAAGTGTTTTTCTCCTCAGAAGAAGCTACAATGATGTTCTGCTGAGCTGTGTTAGCCTCATGGAGAGGGCCATCGTCTTGAACACTGTTGCTAACCATTTATTCATTCTCCCTCTCCTGATAATAGCACTTTACTTTCCTTGACATTGAGCCTCGTCCTTCGTCTGTGGTCTTCCGCAAGGAGCAGTAATTCCGCTTGCAACAACAAACAAGCAGAAAGCGCTTGGACAATTGATAAAGCGAGCGCAGCTCTGAGGGCTTCCATGATGCCGGCTAGTGTAAACACAGGTCGCACACGTGATGTCAGCATTATTTGTCGCGGAAAGTGACGTTGCGGATCTTAAAACTCCGGTTTTGTCTGTCCACACGCAGACACCCAAAACGGAGAAAACGCAGATCTTCACTTTGGCCGGAGTTTTTAAAAAGATCCGTTTTCGTGTGAAAAAACTCCGTTTTCATGTGGATGACAGGCCAAAACGTAGAAAAATATCTACGTTTTGGCAGATCCCCGGCTACGTGTGGACAGGGCCTCAGAGTGCATTCGAAGTTGTTATCTAATCCCTGCAATAAGAAGTTCCAATCTTCGTGTTTAAATAACTTCACAGATCCGTAAGGTGGATTTCATATTTCCTATGGAATCCCACACCTTATGGCTTATTAAATAACACATAATCTAATTTATTACACATAATTTAATCAACTGTGTTAAAAGTACAGCTTAAACCTGTAAAGTGACTTACAGATCTCCGTATTTTCAAAAAGAACTGGCAAGAATTGTAGTTTTTACAATATTTTAATGTGATCTTGTCAAAATTTGTTCTGTTACAAGTATTACAGTATTTTTCTGTATTGATTAACGCTGTTTGTTGTTTTAACAAATAAATGTGTTTTTTCACATAATGTTAATGTAGATATTACATAAAACATATTGCTTTGGATTTTTAAGCATTTGCAACAGAAAAAAAAAGTTTTTCAGTTAACAGGACCTTTCTGTTGTGTATTCACACTGTTTTTATGTAAATTTCACAGTCAGTTTTTTACTGTGCACACACATACACAATGAAAATGATACAGTAGCAGTAAAGTTTGATTCCACATTAAGCCACAGAATGACCCAAGAAAGTCTTTAAAAGGCTTATTTCCAAAAAGTTTTTGGTTGTTAACAGGTAATAAAACAGATTCCAGTAAGTCTTTATTTATTAATCCATCATTCTTTGTTTTCTCCAAGCTAATGACAAACACTGTTCTCATTCCAGTTCTGACACCCTTCTTTTCCTGTCCCAGCTCATTTCCAGATGATACCAGTTTATCTCACAGCACAGCCCTGACTCCTCTTGTGGTACAGTTGGCCCAAAATATCCGTACGATATTGTTGTGTTGGTCAGTGTGTGTAGGTGTGTGTGTTGTGTATGCTCCACACATCTCCATTCAGTGCATTGGCAGCTCCCTGCAGCGTCCAGGTGAACAGAGCCAGCTGTCGTCTGAAACGACTCTCATCAAACCGTACAGGGTCAGAAGTCAGCAGAGCCAAGTGTTTAGTGAGGGCACTTAGTGTGTGGTTGCCACGGCCATGGATCACGTGACGAAATGGTGTCTCCATAGCAGACACGTATTGAGACAGGAAGTAGTATTCCACCTGAAACCAAGACCCAAGAAGAGTTTAAAGCATTTCCGCCCATCCTGACCAGATGCTTAAATCACCTGAATGGACTCTTTTAATGTGGAGGAGCAGCTGCTTAATGGGCTCGACACACGGGAGGCGACAAACGACCGCGATCAGCAAAATTTGTCACTGTCACTTTATTACCTGACACGAGAGGCGACCCGCGGCAGCAGCCAGCGGCAACGCCATCGACGTGTTCTGTTCCATGGCGAAATCGAATCTTCCGTTTTTTTGATTGGCTGTGTCAGGTTGGAGGGAATCAAGGTTATTTAAGCAGTTCAGAGTTTAAAAAGCGGTAGTTATGATGTTTCAGACGGTGCTGCTAGAGTTAGGTGAAATCTTACTTCTGATTTTACAATTTAAAAAAAAAACCCGAGGATGGGTTCATCCCATATTACAAACCATATTACAAGAAATCTCCTTGGTCGTCGTCCGAGCGACCGCGATGATAAGTTGAAAATATTTCAACTTTCTGGGATCGCGTCGCTGGGTCGCCTGTGCGCGACACGTGCACGAGCGCAAAATTTCACACGCACGTTTTTCGCGTTTCGCTTAGTAGGAGGGAGACTCGCGATTATCGCTTTGTCGCGCATGTCTCATTGAAAATGAATGGAGGAGAGGCGATGTCGCCTCCCGTGTATCGAGCCCATTCCTCTGCGCTCCTCTTGGAAAGCTCCTCACGTCTGAGGGTGAATCCAGTCAGTGTGTGGAGCAAGCTTATCTGAGCCACTTCTAGTAAGCTGGGTGTACACTGTGCCATTTTTGGACCATCTTAAGCCAATTTTCCTGAAATCTTTGAGGTTGGGGCAAGTTTTGTGTCATGTAGTTTACAGGGTGTTACCAGAGGTGATTAACCTCTCATGTGTGTCAGCACAAATATCAAACACGTTTGATATTTTGCTCGACCCTCACTGTTCAGGGTATCACTGTTGAAGCAGCGCTCCGACCCAAAAGTACCAACACCCCAGCTGTTTTCGTATAACCACGAGTCGTTTGTTTTTATCTTTAAACTTTTCTCCTCACACAAAGACTGAGGCTTGTCAAGAAAGCGTGTTTGTTGTATTTATCAACAAATAACCCCCAAACATTCACGATGTTGATGTAGTGATGCTTGAGCACCTGTAGTACTCATACCTTCATGATGCGGGTGTTGTAAAGGCGTGCAGCGGCGGGGTCGTGTAGGTCGCTGTAATCAGTGCCTCTCTGCAGCATCTCAGCAGCACGACTGTAGTCTCCTCTGGCACTGAACAGCCACTGAGGAGAAATACCTCTGGACTGAAGATGATCAAAAGACATTATCACCACTGGTTGGATGTGAAATCACACCACCTGAAAATCTGTGTTAGGTAAAGTAGTGCAACCTGCAGCTCAGCTGAGTGTTTGTTGAGCTGAGCGCTGAACTGCAGCACCGTCTGTGCGTAAGAAGTGATGCGTAGAGGTAGTATGTGATCGTGGAGCAATCGCAGTGCCATTTCTCCCACCAGCTCCCCTACGCTCCTCCCAGTAACCCCCAAACGACCTCCCAGGACTTCCTGCAGACGCGCAACACTGTCCAACGGCGTGTTGATGAAAGGGAAAGCTCGCTCCTGAATACACACACGTCTTGTTAAAAAAATAATGAAGCCTTGTGATGTGATACAATGGTGTTACATTTTAAGACATTGGATATTAAATTTAAACTTAGAACGACTCGCACCCACTATACAAGATTCACTGATAGTCCCTAGCAAATTTGGTGCTGTTTGTTTAACACAGTGAACCATACCTCAGTGAACCTGAGCTCCATGGCTGGAACTCCAGCAAAGGCAGTGAAACTATAGGCTCCACTGTTCAGATATAAAGGCTTCATTCTACAGAGAAACACCTCATTGGTCATAAACATCACATTTGGGTTTTGCATGATGAAAAAATCACACGTGTGTTTGCGTGCTCACATCCTCCAGCTGCCTCCGTCCCCCTCAGCTTGGCTGTAGATGGTCTGACCTGCATGTTTAGGATGCTCCACCTGCAACACCAAAACATACCTTCACCTTGGTGAGACAGTATACATCTACAAACAGAGCTACAGTATACCGGTGACATTCAGAATGAGGTAGAAGTGTGTGTGAAGCATTGCATTTGTGAATCAAGTCTAGCTCGTATTAGTAAGTGATGGTAGCACAGGCACAGCAAAAAAATAAAGGTCCAAGTACTAATGCCTTTCCAGATTTACCTAATTATTACACTTGGCATCTGAAAATGTTTATGTTTAAGTATTTAGCAGACGCTTTTGTCCAAAGCGACTTACAAGGGATAATCGGCATGTTGCCCTTGAGGCTAACAACAACAATAACAACAACAACTTGACATCAATCATGGAGAGGAGGGAACAAGGAGTGGACAGTAGAGAGGGGGGACGGGTGCAGGGAGGGTGCCAGTTTAGAAGATGCTCTCTGAAGAGCAGGGTCTTCAGGAGTTTCTTGAAAATTGAAAAGGAAGCTCCTGTTCTGGTAGTGCTTGGAAGGTCATTCCACGTTTGTGGAACGATGCATGAGAAGAGTCTGGATTGTCCTGAGCGTGGTGTAGGCACTGCTAGCCGACCATCCTGTGATGACCGGAGCGGCCGGGCCGAGACGTAAACCTTTGCAAGAGGATTCAGGTAGATGGGAGCCGTACCATCTCAGACTTTGTATGCTAGTGTTAGCAGTTTGAATTTGATGCGTGCTGCTAGCGGTAGCCAGTGGAGCTCAATGAACAGAGGGGTGACGTGTGCTTTTTTTTGGCTGGTTGAAGACCAGACACGCCGCTGTGTTCTGGACCATTTGAAGAGGTCTCACAGTACAGCCTGGAAGACCAGTTAGAAGGGCGTTGCAGTAATCGAGGCGGGAGATGACAGTAGGTTGCACCAGGAGCTGGGTGGCATGCTGTGTTAGGTATGGTCTGATCTTTCGTATGTTATACAGCGCAAAGCGGCATGAACGAGCAACAGAGGCAACGTGATCTTTAAAGGTCAGGTGTTCATCAATCACAACACCCAGCTTTCGAACTGCCTTTAAAAATGCTAAGAAAACCGCGCTGTGAAAACACAAGGCTGGTTAATTGTTCACCTGTTTGATGGCAGCATCCAGCAGGTCGACCAGTAACGGACTGGTGTAGGCTGACAAGATGTCATCACCTGTTGGTGGAAAGGCAGACCAGCAAGTTTTCACTCTCTGATTGGCTGGCAGCGTAAATGTGTGTGTTTATTGGCTGAGAGCTGAGTTTTACCCATGACAGCCTGGTCTAGACTGAAGTAGGCCACAGCTTTCAGGTGGAGCATGGTCAGGTAACCCTGAGAATCGCAGGTTCAAGTCAGTTGTTGATTTAACAAGTCAGAATCTGAGTTTGTGTGATGATTTAAATAACCTCAAGCCATTCAGTCGCTCCAACATTCCCAAAATCTCCTGCATCCCAACTGACAAATAACAAACTGCGTCTGGGACTAAAACCTGAAAAAGTACAACCCTTCTTAGGAGACGTTACACAAATGGTCTTATGCTCTTCTGTTTCAAAAGACAAGCACTTGTGTTCAGGTAACTCTTACCATTTTTGACCATGACTGAGAAGGTTCGCGCTAACTCCAACAGAATCGCTGTTCCAACTCCAGATTTCACAGCTCCTGGGCCCAATGAGTCCCTCTGCGCTCCCAGTATGATGTACTGGTCTGATAGGTAGGTCAATGGTTTATAGCTGCTACAAAGACACTCACCTGTCTGGGTTGTGATGTCAGAGCATACCTGGCTCAACGCGACCCACCAACGAGGAAAAGATGTTGTTGAGCAAGATGGGCATCATCACGTTGTGGACCGTCATCTGGAGTCTACGTCCAGAGCTGAGGTTCGGACCGAGTAGGCAGTGGACATATGGCAGACGTCCTTTCCAAGATGGAGGACAGGCTGGACCAGACAGTTGGCTAAGACACAAATGTGTGATGTCAGGTGAGCTCTTCTTCCCACTGCTGAATTTTGACACAATCCCGCCTTCCGACCATCTTAAGTACATGCCTGATTACTGAAAATGCTCTAAAGATAATCTTATCAGATATTCCTGCCATGTGGGGTGTGTTAGGAGTGCTCTGGTCTACTTGAAAGGAAATTGGGACCACTTCAATCATAAATCGGGGATATCATATGTGTTGGACTATCTTGGTTCAATTTAGAGGACATACAAGGGGGCTTCCTTTTGACTGTGGCTTAAGTAGCCAATCAGAAAGTGAGGTGATGGAAATGGGCTGCACTGTTCCCCTCCATCATGTTTTCTAACACCAAAGTCCCGTTTGATCTCACACGATTACACATGGGACAGGGGAAGGGTTGGTGCATGTGTTCATGTGTAGCGTCTCTCTTATTTGGAAATGTGGCCGAGTTAAGCCATTCACCTGCACTTCACCAGAACCAAACAGAGAAGAGGGAAGGGGGGTCACCTTAGCAGCTTGGCAGCCACATTGGCAGTGATTGGCAAGGCTGGGATCGTTGGCAGGCCAGAGGATGGGATAGGTGGGAACTTCGAGTGATTGAAGGAGGGAAAGCCGGGTGTGAAGGGGTCACCTGACCCAAGGTGAACCTGTAGAGGGATCAAATGTTTGGTCTGGAACTCGGATGTGGTTTAGGTTTGTTTACATGAGCATTTGTGCATTACGTGTTCTAACACGGCAGTGTGTGGGTTCAGTCCCAGCCGGCGAGGGTCCTGCGGCAGGTCAGCAGGGTCCGGATAGATTAGAACGCCGCCCGCTCCATTCCTCTCAGCCAACCACACCTTCTCAGCAAAACTGACTCCACCTCCAACACGCATCACCACCACACAGCCGGCTGCAGATACGCCCACACTCTTCAGCCAATTAAAATCCTCTGGGCGCCCATAATTAGCATAGACAACACCCCCCTGCAGAAAGATGGGTCAAAATAACTGGAGGCGTACGTAACGAAAGGACAAACACTTATTGTCATTCTTCCTCACTGTGTAGTTTCCAGCTGCGCTGTATGGACAATAATCCAATGGGTTCAGAGAAATCTGTTCAGACACCCGGCCTGCAGAGTCCACAAGCTTCAGGGAGGTCCTCTGAGCTCTGTGAGAAACACGGACCACCCAAAAAAAAAAAAAAATAGCAAACAGATGAGCATCACCTAGTGGTTTGATTGGTATGCTGGTAAAAAATATGTAACTGAGTCCAAAAAAGTTTTCAGGTGTGTGTTTATGTCGAGAGCTAAAACTTCTGACTCATGTGAAATTAAATGTCTAATGAGACATTTATTCACAGATGCCCTCTGCCTTGCTGTACTCACTCACTCTTCTGCTGCTGCTGCGGGGTGTACCCATGGACATAGTTTAGCCCCCCCGCCCCCCCCCCCCCCCCCCCCCCCACCCACCCCCCCAGCACTTTTCACCGTCCAAAAACAATCTTATGTTATATTAGACACTGGTGGAGCACTTGGACCGAGCGGAAAACAACCACTTGTGTTGAAGCCTGTTTCCTATCAGAACCGTCCATAAGCTCATCTATTGGCTCTGATGATGCTTGCTAACGTGTGATTGGTCATTCCTGCCACCTGTGCACTTGACAGTTCTGCATTCCTGACAGTGCATGAAAGGGCCTCTAGGCCGTAGTTTTATACATAGTTTTTGTATACTTCCTATAAAGATCCCCCTTTCCGGTCCTCATTCCGGTCGTGTCCCCTCCGCTTCTCAAGTCAAAGCTACGTCTATGGGTGTACCATCAGATCGCTACATCTGCCGACTCCTCCCATCCAAGGCATCCATGCCAACACATTCTCACACCCAAAGCGTCAAAATATGACGCGTGTGACCAAGCCTCAATATATGACGATTCGGGATGCCCCAGAGCGTCAGGAGATGACGATCAGGGACACGCTGGGACACGTGGCTCCGCTGGCATCAGTGTTTGACGCCCGCGGTCACACGGGCATTATTCGACTATTTAACCTTCCCCCCACCCCAATTCTAACCTTAAGGTCCATAAACTGTGACCTTAAGGTTAGGATTGCGGTGAGGGGAAGGTTAAGTAGTTCACAAGTAGTTCTAATGTCTGTCTCACCACCGGCGTCGGATACAGACGCTCTGGGACGGTGCGCCATCAGCGTGTCCCTGATCGTCGTCTCCTGACGCGCTGGGGCGTCCCGAATCGTCATATATTGAGGCTTGGTCACACGCGTCATATTTTGATGCTTTGGGTGTGAGAATGTGTTGTCCTGTCCATGCATGCAATGTTTGTTGCTTCTGCTGAACTCACCGCGGTCATCTTATCATTCGCATAACTCAGCCTTTATAGCTAGTTAACGTGCCCCACTTTGAGTCCATGCTGCTCCGGACCTCTTGTCTCTGTTTCTTTCTCCTATTGAGAACGTACACCCTGGCGCCCTCTGCTGTTACGGTCGTGTAATGGTTAGACCCTGATTATAAGACAACTCCACATGTTAAAATTGTTTTCAATGAAAAAACCTCGTCCTATATTCAGGTCAATACGATATTTCCTCTCAAATATTATGAAATTCCTGCTGAACTTGAACGCTGACATCACCAGTCCATGTTCTGACCAGAGGTGTTTCAGACCTGAATTAGTCAGGCTGATATCAACAAGACAGGACGTATTTAAGAGGTTTCACACGTTGACACATGCCAGCATGGCTAAATTAAATGTTCTATGCAAAAGAATGAAAATTACGTGAATAAAATATGCTTGAATGACATAATTCAGGATAATTAAATATCAGTTTAAAACCTTAAAGAAAAAAATGTCAACAAGTAAAATCAGAGCTGTTAGTTCATAATTAAGGTTTGAAAACCCAGAATGTGCTTAGAACCTCCTAACGCTCCTGTAACGAATACTTTATTTTATTTTCTAAGTCGGTAATTCCATCTGTGTGTGTGTGTGTGTGTGTGTGTGTGTTTGCGTGTGTGTGCATGCATGCATGCATGCTTGAGTGTGTGACCTGTAACTGCGACCCCTACCTGTTGGGAAACTGCAGCGTGGCGTACAGAGACTCGGTCCATGTGTGATCCATCTGCAACTTCCTGAAGCGACGCAGTATCTCCGATGCCAAAGCCGTTCCCTCTGAGGAGCCTGGAGGATGAGGAGCTCTGCTGATCTGGCTGACAGGCAAACACACCTGAGAGTCTAACTCCAATCATCATGTTTCATAACAGCTTCACCGTTTGTAAACCAAAAACAGCCCTTTACACGCTGCTCTCATTCCCACTGTCAGACTTTTTGCCAACAGCTCCAAAATATAAGTAGATTTATTTCTAGCTAAACAAGTTAGAACACTGTTATGGTCTGCGTCTGCGTCTCCCTCATGTGTCTCCTTGTGTTCTTCATCCCCCTCTAGTATCCCCTGAAGCTTGGTTTATGCTTGACGCATTCACTTTCGGCTTGGTGATGCGGCTCGCGGAGGGAACGCACTTCACAACTCGCAGCGTTTATGGTTTATGCTGCTTGTCTCTGCGGTGAGCCAATATTCTCCCAAACTGTAGGGGGCAGCATGGAGCTCTACGGCATGCATCCAACACTACACCATAGTAGAAGTAGAAATTACTGTTTACAACATGGCATTCCAGCATTTTTAACAGTGTCCTCGTCTTTTCCGACAGTGCGAGCTATTTCTCTCCAGGAATTATTAACAACATGTTGATCACGGTGATCTCTGAGAGCTGAATCATACAAATGTCTGTATTTACGAACCGCTGCCATACTAGTTCTTGCCGGTCCGCCATGTTTTTCCGCGTCCGACCGTCCGCGTAGTTAGAAAATTTCCTAGGTGCGCGGTGCGAAAAGTTTGGGCCGTGCGGAGGCGCGGTGGAGGGGCGTGGTTGTTAAAATGATGCAACTTTTCCGCGCGAAGCCGTGTGGACCTCGCGGACGCCTCAAGCATAAACCAACCTTTATACAAACTCGGTCTCCCGGGGGTGTTTTTTTTAACTATTATTTCATTTCTATAAACTTTATAATTCATATATTTATATATTGTTTATTACTTGTATACACTTGCATAGGTCCTACTGCACTTCAGCAGGTTTTTCAACTGAAGCTGTGTTATTTGGTCTAAGTCCGGTAAATTAATCCTACAGCTGGTCAAACGTTGGGTGTTACAAGTATCTGAACTTTTAATAAATGTCTGAAATGTGTTTTTAAAGTATTTTAAAGCTGAGACTTTACTTGAGTTGAAGTACTTAGTTACTTTCTGGTACCTGACAGTATTGTGGATATCTTCATCCTGCAGTAGCTTCCTCATCATCTCTCTCAGCTCTCCCAGGTAAAGCCCCGCCCCTGCAGGTGCAGTAGCCCCACCTCCCTGCTGTTTGCCCTCTTCTTCCACATCATCCACCTGGAAGCAGTGGTACCGCCCACTAAACACAGCGAAGGCCAATAGGAACGCTTTCACAGATAAACACAATAATCATATAATTATCAGGGTGATGGAGCGATTGGTCACTTAAGTGTTTTTACCTGCAGCAAATATGACGACTCCACAGATGCTCAGCAGCATGCAACCCTTCCTGTTACTATGACAATAGCTCTTCCCCAAAGTATTGAGGTTACAAATAGGCTCCTCCCCTTCCTCATTTTCCAGTGTCACAAATTTTAGCTCCACGTCTTGAGCGCCACACACTTCCTCCTCTTCATCAGACACACGGTGGATGGACACTGAAGAAGACTATAAAAACAAAGTGCGTAACCATGGCAACACACTGTAACCATGAATAAGTTCACTGAACTCAAAATTTATGAGGAAACTGATTACGTAACAATTTTTAAGTTAACTTATCTAAAAACTAAGTTTACCATGACTGAATTAAATTAAAGCAATTAACTACCTTCAACCTATAACTTGGCACTTAAACAGCTTACAAAGTTTCATTTCACAAATCTTGCATATTTTATTTTATTTTAACTTTATTACATGTTTTTACTTAAATAATATAACTTAAAAGAACTCTAAATGGACCTATTAAACCCTAACCAAATAAGTTGAATTAACTTAAAAATGACAATGTGGCAGGCTGGTGAAGGCACTAACACCAGATCATGACTCACACACCCCTAGATGCTAACAGCCAATGAAAGTGGAACACTCAAAGTCAAGTCAAGAGTATCTGGTGTGAACAACCACAGTATTGATAACAATGGGACGGCACAGCCATTCAGCATTACTTTGACCAACCTCCTCACTTATGGGGCCAACACCACATCTGCCACACTGAATGAAATAATAACTGAGAACAACAATCATCCACAATAAACATGCATAAACACCCCAAAATAGAGCTAAATAACTGAAAATATGACTACCCACAATGCACTGCTAGTTCATGGTTGTTTTTCCTATAAATCCACAATTTAAAAAAAAAAGATACAAGTATTTTTATCAGACACACTTTAGGGTTGAAGTAAAGATGAATGGAATAATATAGAAACATAAAATAATAAATTATTTTTGTTAATATTACTCATTAAAGTTGTCTTTATTGATTAGCTTAAGTTACGGTTACTTAAAAAAAGAAATAGTTCAGATTAGTGAAAACATTTGAGTTCTATGTACTTAAAACAAGGAAAAGTTTGAACAAGCTCAACACATTTGAGTTCTAAAATATTTTTTTAAACTTATGAATTTTATCTACTCAATATATTTGATTATTTTGAACTTTTGGGTTTACAGTGTTTAAACTCACCTGTGTGAGGTGACTTGTCGGGGTATCCATGCTGCTTTGCAGAAGAAGCGAGACACTGTTTTGATGTGAAGAAAATAAAATAGGTCAACGCATGGTGAAAGGATTATTTTTGTCATGTAACCATGATGGGATGAGTCAGTCATCTCTACATCACACACTCCTCATGTGTACAGCTAAACCTATCACAGATTAACCCAACAGAGCTTGTACAGAAGACAAAAGCCTTCAGCTTCACTCTCCATACCTGATCAGCTTTCTTTAACCTCCATCAGTTGGATGTTCATCCAGAGATCTTAAACAAGTCACTGCTACTAAAAGACTCAACCTTATTAGGTGAATTAGGTCATATTAAAAGGTTCCTAAGTGGTACTGGGATAAGGCCTTGTCAAAATGACAACAAAATAGGTTTCTTGATGCAATCATGCAACTATTTAAATGTTTAGAATTATAATTTAAAGTTGTGGTACATTGAAAGCCCAGTAGTCACTTTTCATTGTTGCCCTGGGTGTTGTTTTGGGGGGCTACACAGGGACGTGCCCTCAGAGGCGACACACGGCGATAGGTAAGGCAGCTATTTGCTTGGGGCCCCCAGAGGACCAGAAAGGTTGAACCAAGTCAGAACCACAGTGAGTCAGTGAAAAGTTGTCATTTGACAGCAATGTTGGCGGTCTCAAACACTAATGAGTTGCAAAACTAAATGTGTTAAATAAACATTCCTACATGTTAACTGATTACCCTCCAGACATAGATATGAAAGTGGGAAAATTAGAATTTGGTGCAAAAGTTTATTTATGTCATTAATTCTGCTAAAAGGTGAATCTAATCTGAGATAGGCTAATTCCATTCAAGGCCAGATAATTGCTATAATTGTGATAATTATGGGGAGAGGGGTCGGAGGAGAGGTCCTACCTCAAGTGGAGGAGTTTAAGTATCTCGGGGTCTTGTTCACGAGTGAGGGTAGGAGGGATCGGGAGATCGACAGGCGGATTGGTTCGGCGTCTGCAGTGATGCGGACGCTGAGCCGATCTGTCATGGTGAAGAGGGAGCTGAGCCAGAAAGCCAGGCTCTCGATTTACCGGTCGATCTACGTCCCAATCCTCACCTATGGTCATGAGCTTTGGGTAATGACCGAAAGAACGAGATCGCGGATACAAGCAGCCGGAATGAGTTTCCTCCGTAGGGTGGCCGGGCTCAGCCTTAGAGATAGGGTGAGGAGCTCGGACATTCGGGAGGGACTCGGAGTAGAACCGCTGCTCCTCCGGATCGAAAGGAGTCAGCTGAGGTGGTTTGGGCATCTGGTCAGGATGCCTCCTGGACGCCTCCCTGGGGAGGTGTTTCGGGCATGTCCTGTCGGCAGGAGGCCCCCGGGTCGACCCAGGACACGTTGGAGAGGTTACATCTCCAATCTGGTCCGGGAACGCCTTGGGGTCCTGCCGGAGGAGCTGGTGGAGGTGGCCGGGGAGAGGACGGTCTGGAGCTCCCTTGTTGGGATGCTCCCCCCGCGACTCGGACCCGGATAAGCGGAGGAAGACGACGAGCATATGAAAACCCAAAGTTAAAAATCTCAGACTATTAGAATATTGAGAAAATGTTAAATATTCTAGGCTCAAAGTGTCACATTTTAATCCGCTAATTAATCCAAAACACCTGCTAAGGGTTCCTGGGTCTTTAGATGGTCTCTCAGTTTAAGATAAATTGACTTTTGCACAATATCCTAATTATTCAAGTTTCACCTGTTTTTATTCTTTGATAGGTGGTGTTAGTTTTATTTGCACTAAAGTAGGAAGTAAAACCAGAAGCAAAAGGTCTGATTACCTTGTGTTTGCAGAGAGTTTAGCAACCAAATGGATGCTTTTGGTTTGTGTGTCTTGCTAACCTTTGTCAAATTGTCATTAGGAACATTCATTTATTCACTTACACTGTTTCCTCTGTGTGCAGATTCAGAAATAATAAATTTACAAAAAAAATATGGTTTTATTTTTTCTTTAGATTATTAAATGTGGTGGTTGAAGAACAACCAGGAAAATTCAACCAGCAAAAGAAAAGAAAATGAATGAAGTTGTGATGCTCGCATCCTCGTCTCCTGTGTCCCTTCATGGTTCCCCTCCTTATTAGATCATTAGTTTATTTATCTTGAGTTTCTCCTGTGTCTTTATTTTATAGGTTAATTTATGTTCAGTAGCTTTTGTGTTACAGGTTTTAGGTCTGGTTTCCTCCCCTTCTTGGTTCTGCTTCTCCTCTGCTTATTAGTCCCACCTGTGCCCAATTCCCGTAATCAAGCAGTCCTATTTCAGCCCTGGTCTTGTCTTCTGTGTTTGTCCTTGTCAGCGTTACTTGTTGCCTCCTGTGCTCTCGAGTAGACTCGGTAATTTTTTTCTGGATCTCTAGTTTGCTTCCTGTGTTTTTTCCTGAGTATTTTGGATTTTGCCTTTTCTGACCCGCTCAGCTCCTCCAAAATAAAAGATTCTTATTTTTGCGACCACTCCTCACTGTGTTGTCCTGGCTTCCTGCATTTGGGTCCAAACCTCCTTCGTCAGCGTGACAGAAGTTGTCTAAATTCCTCTGCTGGATGCCGAGCCTGATTTCAGCCAGAGAGTAACTCACCAGTATGATATAATAAAGTAGACACGCTGGTAAAATCCTGAAGCATCTTTATTAAATGTCAGTTGTTTATTTAAAGTACAGAAATGGTCAGTTACTTTATTTGTGTTCATCAGCATTTAAATAACATTTTGAGCTTTTTTTCTTTATAATTGCTATAATTGTGATTTTGTAAATGTTTACATATCAAATAAAAAATAAGAAATCTGTTCTTTAAAACAATATTTTCGGACTACAACAAATCAACCAAACAAAAGCGTAACGGCAGCTTCAATAGTAGGCTCGTGCACGAGGCGCGCTTGCTGTACGTGCACACTCCTTAACGAAAATAACAGCTGAGACAGTCCCGTGTGTGTGTGTGTGTGTGTGTGTGTGTGTGTGTGTGTGTGTGTGTGTGTGTGTGTGTGTGTGTGTGTGTGTGTGTGTGTGTGGCACAGAGGACAGGAGAACACGCAGCTAATTATTTAAATAATTTGGTTCTGTACCTTTCTCTTCAGCACAGCCGACAAAGGTTTATGATGGGTCAGTCCTCCTGCATGCTCAGATCATTCCCTTCCCTTGCTTGAAAAATTGTTCCAAAATGAAAGTTGAACCCACATCTTTTTTATCTGTGAATTCAATGCCGTTCGGCGAGTCTCAAATAAAAATTTGGGCATCTTACTGTAAAAAAAAATACCATTAATGTAAAAAAGAAACTCCAAATAATGTTCACACCTAGAATCAAAGCCAGGTCTTTTGTATGAAAGTCAGACGTCTTACTAGGTGAGCTCAAACACCAGTGATATTCTATGTATCTGTAACATTTATATCCTTGATGACAGCTGAAACAACGTTCAAAGAACGGTTCGGAGTGAAAATGGCTATTTTGTTGCTAATTTGCAGGAAATATCTAGAAGAAAGTTCTACAGAAAGTAGCTAAGGGTCCTCAGAAATGTAGCTAGCTTTGTCACTAGGCGTTAGGAACAGCGACAAAGTGGCACTGCCTCTCTCTCTGCTGCTAAAGCTACGGATAGCAAATGCTGCGGGCGATGCCTGAGCGTGAACGCGCATGAAGCAGCCTGCTCGACCCGAGCATCTCTCTTTTTCTGTGATTTTACAGAAAAACAGGCAATCACAGTAAAAATGCCAGGGCTCATTCTACAGGACCAGGGCATTGCAGGAGAATGTATGAAGAAGACATTTATTATTTCTATACATGTTTTGGCTGTCACACTTCCATAATGCCCCTTTAAACATCTCCACATAAATGTAACTAAGTGACAGAAGTGCTAACTAACAAACAAATTCTCTCTCTCGCTCTCGCTCTCTCGCTCTCTCTCTCGCTCTCTCTCTCTCGAAGTGTTCTAGGTTTGGATGCACACGTCACATCTCTTTGGATATAATAATATATGACAATCTTGTGTTCTGCTTTCAGATGAATCAAATGTTCTTTTCCTATTTCTCTCATTATCTTCATCAACAATTAACTTCCATTTTAATTGGCATTTGTTCACTAATAGCAGGCTGCAGAGTTACCATAGTATTGATTATGTAGTCTTTTAGGCCTCCTGTCCTGAGCAGAAAACAGCACTCAGCGTCCTGATGTTCCTCCTCCTAGCCTAAATCGGTCATTTCTGACCTCCAAATCTGATCCCCAATCAGCTCAAAAACACATAAATGCCTCACCTTCTGTTTAGGCCTCAGTTCAGCACCAGATCTGCGTTTTGGATCCTCAGCGTGACTCACGCTTGACTAGTTTTTTACTTTGCCTGCCTTTAGTGGCCAGCTGCTCAAAGGGGTCAGAGGTCAGCTGTGTGTTTGATCTGGGTAACTTTATTAACAGAGGAGCAAACAGAGTGCTGCCACTTTAACTGTAGAGTTAGTTTCAGTTCGGTTGTGTTTTAACATTAACGCAACTTTCTGATATTTATTGGTTTTAGTGAAGGGTTTATTATATGAATTTACACGGGATTAAAAACCCAACAAAAGACTAATTTTAACTCCATGTGGACTGTTACTTTTTTTTACCTGTAAAGTAAAACTTTATTTATAATATCTGTGATTGAGAAGCAGTGAGAAGCAGTGTGGGATGATACCTGTGTCTGGGTGGGAGGAACAGATGTCATGGTAATGCTTAGTGCACATAATAATATGTTAGCCCTCCTTTGGTCTGGTCTTTCATGGGCGTGTCAGATTTCCTTTTGAACATCTTTTGCACATTCGTTCTGTGCAGTCCATCAAATTTCATGGTTTAGTTCTTTTTTAGCTGTGCTCTGAGGATAGCTGAAGTGGGCGGGGCAAAAGACGTGCAGAAAACTCTGTGGTGTCTCCCTTAAATGACGGCCGTGCAGCTCAAGGTGCGGAAACGCTGTGTGTGTGTGTGTGTGTGTGTGTGTGTGTGTGTGTGTGTGTGTGTGTGTGTGTGTGTGTGTGTGTGTGTGTTTGTGTGTGTGTGTGTTTGTGTGTGTTGTGTGTGTGTGTGTGTGTGTGTGTGTGTGTGTGTGTGTGTGTGTGTGTGTGTGTGTGTGTGTGTGTGTGTGTGTGTGCACTTCTCACTGCAGTGCGCAGAGACGCAGCTTCAGTCAGAGGCCACGTTGACTTCTCAACATTCAACATTATAACTAACTTGTTCACTGTCATTTGCATTTTTCTACTGTGTGGGTGTCGGACGAGCCCCCGCACCGAGAGAACAAACATCTCAGCTATGAAGCCGATCTTCATCTGCATACGTCACACGTCACATGATCAGAAAGCAGAAAATCCACGTGTTAGATCGTTTTGGGCCGTTCCTGTAAAAGAAAAAAAAGAGGTGTGAACCGGAAAAGCTTCTGCCGATCACAGTTCGGCAATGGGTTACGAGAGAACGGATAAGGCTCGAAACGCGCGGATTCTTCCTGATGTAAGAGGTGAGTCTCCGCTTTGTTTTGGCGTCGACATCATCCTAGCGTGCAACGTTCGGTGACTCAAAAAACAGTAAAAACAGCGAGAAACGCTGGCAGCGAAGGGCTTTACCGATCAGGAAATGGCTGGCAGCCAATGAGTTAAATGCACACGCAGAGAGCTCCCACTGCTTGACTCTATCCGCCAATCGGAGGCTTCCTCTAAAGGTAGGTGTGTATTTGAGCCAGCCAATCAGTTGGCAGTGGGTGTGTTGGACCTGAAAAATACAAGGCTACCTAGATATGAACACTTTAAATGCTACCCAGTCCGGTCTGTGCTGGCCCAGATGTGAAAGCGCCATAAAAGTGGTTTTCCAGAAACACTCGGAGCAACTCGAACCGATGCCGCTCGGCCCAACCACTGTTCCCAAGGGCATGGTTCGGTTTTCTCCCCCTACTTTCTCCCTAGTTTTAGTCCTTGCTCCCTTCAGGTACCTGGCAAAGCTGAGTCGGCCGGCATCGGGATTCTGGCCCCTGATTGGCTAGGGGTCGGAGTCACTGGTAGCTCTGGAGTTTTTTGCTTCCTGTTTCACTGCCTGCAGCCATTTCCTGGAGTCTGACAAAAAGCCATAAAAATGTCCAACAACACCAACATTTTTCAGCTGAGTTGGGTTTCTGTTGACCGTGCAAGTTACCTTACACTGTTTACTGATCACCTCATGTTATTTAGTCTCGTAAAAACGGCACCCACAGGACAGGGTTTAGTGGAGATAGCTGGCTAGTCGGTGTTATTCATCAGCTAGGCTCTCTGGCTGTTTAAACATGTATTAGGCAGACTGGTTCTGATCCAATCTGTTGTTCTTAGAGAAAATTAATGTTCCAGATAAACACAATAGCTAAACTGAACTCTTACTTCAAACACATAATTCAACTCTTACTAGTAAAATGTCGTATTTTAAATAGATGCGATGAAAAAATAAACGTCCAGCTATCAGAAATTTTATTTTAATATCTGAACTTACATTTAAACTAGAACTATTTTCAATTCAGACAGGCAAAGCTTAAGTCTTGTGCTGCAAACCAAAGTGTTCCGTGTGGATATTAAGAATGTTATCATAGATATCTGGAATACACATCTAACCTGCCTAATAAATGTTGCTTAGGTTTTTTTATTATGTGGTTTGTCTCGAATCGGTGCAGTTGTTGGATATCCTTGCATAAAATTTCTACTACTAACAAAACACCTGTTAATATCTGTATTTTCAATTTGACTAATAATACTATTTTGACTTGGGATAAATCGTTGCTTTGTAAAAGAGGGATACAACAAAGAGGTGTGGTTGTTAATTAAATGTTAAAATGGTTCATTAAATTCAAGTCCAGTCCATCACCACCTGTTGGTGAATTCCTATTATCAACAAGAATAAAATAAACACAAAATCAACATTTTATTGGAAGTTTCTATTTCTTTGTGTTTTAATATTTTCTGCATCACTTGACTCTAACTTTATTTATATAGCGCCTTATAGACTCTTACATGCCACCAAAGTGCTTCACAGACACAGATAAAAAAAACACATAAAATCCACCAAAAATTTATGAAACCCAACCAAATCAAAACATTCAAAACGAGACTATCAGATCAACAAAGTCAGTCACTCAGACAGATTTGAAAGCCAGTTCATAAAAGTGGGTTTTCAGCTTGGATTTTAAAACTGGTACAGAAAAGAACTGCCGACTGTGTCATGGAAACTCATTCCATAGTTTTGGAGCTGCAACTGAAAAGGCTCTGTCACCCCACATCTTCAGCCTTGACCGGGGGACCACGAGCAAGGACAAGTCCTCTGAATGAAGTTCCCAAAAGGGAACATACAATTGCAGTGTGTCTGCCAGATATGCTGAGGCCAAACCATTTAAAGCTTTAAAACCCTGTAAAATTACTTTAAACCGAAGCCTAAAAGAAACGGGTAGCCAATGTAGAGCTTGCAATATGGGCATAGCATGGGCTAACTTCCGTTTGCCCTCCAAAAATCTCCCAGCAGTATTTTGGACAGGTTGCAAATGGGCTAAGGCACCATGGCTCACTCCAAGCAGGATGGAGTTGCAATAGTCTAGGCATGAAGTTATGAACGCATGCACTACAGTTTCAAGATTGCGTCTGGACAAAAGAGGTTTTAACCTTGGCCAAGCATCTTAAATTGTCAGAGGAAGCTACCACCCCGTTTATATGACCCCTAAAACAGAAGTCTTCATCTATCTCACTCCCAAATAAACAACATAGTCCTTCAAGTGGGGGGTTGATTCACCCCAGTTCACCATGGAATTATCAGTTTGGCGGCTGGGACCGAAGAGCACTGCTTCTGTCTTCCTCTCACTGAGGCATAGAAAATGTTTTGCCATCCACACTTTGACCTCACACAAACAATCTAAAACCTTCAAGATTGGTCGACCACCAGCCTCATCCAAAGGCAAGTACAGTTGTCAGTCATCAGCATATTGGTAAAAATCAACACTGTGTTTCCATAGAATATCACCCAAAACAGCAGGGGACCCAGTATTGAACCCTGCGGAACAACCCAGGGGAGATGGGAGAATTCAGACGAGACCATGTAGTGGTCGAGACGAAGCAACAACACCTCGCTGTCCTCTGTGTCAAAGGCTGCTGTCAAATCCGGCAAAAACAAGTAACACAGACCTTCCGTCATCAGTTGCAAGAAGAATGTCTTTCAGGACCTTCGGCAAGCTGTCTCAGTGCTATGTAATGGTTTAAAACTGGATTTTTTCTCTTAAGAAGTCCAGCAACTGGCCATTGACACACCTTTCCATCACCTTACATAAAAAGGGGTGCTTAGAGATTGACCTATAATTAGATGGCACAGATGCATCTAGCCCAGGTTTCTTTAATGGGGGATAAATGACCACTCTTTTCGTAAGAAGCATTTCAAGGTCCTGGAGTGGCTTAGCCACTCTCCAGATCTCAACCCCATAGAAAATCTTTGGAGAGAGATGAAAGTCCATGTTGCCCAGCGACAACGCCAAAACATCACTGCTCTAGAGATCTGCATAGAGGAATGGGCCAAAATACCAGCAACAGTGTGTTAAAACCTTGTGAAGGCCTACAGAAAACCTTTGCCTCTGTCATTGCCAACAAATGGTATGTAACAAAGTATTGAGATGGAATTTTGTTTTGACCAAACACTTATTTTCCACCACCATTTGCAAAGAACGTCTTTAAAACTCAGTCTTTGTGATTTTTTGGATTTTATTCTCATGTTATTTTTCAGAGTTGAGGTAAACCTATGGTGAAAATTACAGGGGGAGAACATGTACAATTGGAGTAGTTGGACTTCATGTAGTTTGGATATTTGTTCCATGAACAGTTGAAGTTCAAACATAACAAAGACTGAAGAAAAAAGGTGATCTTCTGGCACAGTATTCTAAAACTTAGAACAAATGAAATCAAACTCCTCTGTTTCATTCCTCTTGACCCACTGATGTTGTCCATCTGTCTGCATGGCTCCAGACATGCCACAGTCATTCTCTGGTCCACCCGAGACCCAGTTGTCATAACAGACCATCTGATCACTGACCCAGAACCAGGAGTTCTGAATGAAGCAGTAGTACAGTCCAATCCAGACAAAAGTAGTCGAGGCATTCTTGACTTTCTCCTGAATCAACCTCTGATCATCAGTGTTGGTGATGGTGACCAGGTCATGGTGGTGATCTCTGCAGTAGAATAAGGCCTCCTCCCAGGTTTTACTCTCATTAATCAGGATCACGTTATCTGTCAAGGAAATAAATAAAATGAACAAAATGTGTAACCTACATCTTTAAGTCGTTTTTATAGGCATAAAAAGTCCTGAATGGATTTACACTTCATACTCTTAGTGTCTACTTCAGTCTTTCCCCTTCATGAAAAGGTGATGCTGAAGCTCAGGTGGTCAGGCAGTGTGGCTGCACCTGAAGTTGCAGAATCAGCTGCTGTCTAACACGAACTGTTTATAAAACTCTTCTTAATACCCCCATGTTTTCATTGGCTCTAAACACCGATGGATGTGATTCGCTCGTGTTCTTTGCTACTTTTAGTTTACTGATGTATTTATTTTCAGATGTTTGCCATGTTGTTGTTTTCCCTGTGCAACACTTTAGTTGATGTTGTTGTGTAGACGGCGCTTCACTAATAAAGCTGATTGGATTGGACTCCTGCAACACTGTGTTGTTCCTCTCAGCTGGATTTTTGCCTCAGTTATGAATCAGAGATCTCTGCTGATCTCCCACAATGGATCCAGAATACAAATGCTGGATTGGTGCGAACAGGTGTGATCACATCTGTCTAGTTTTAGCCTTTTATTAGCTTTGATTTGACTCAAATCTATTTCAGTCTATTTGTTCTAATGAATGTCTTATCAGTTCTACTTTATCTTCCTGAATTGCAGCGTCCGTGTTGTTCCTCTTGTTCACTGTGATCTGTAGATCAGATGTTTGTGATAAATCCAAAAGTTCATTGATGTTCTGGGTTTAAGCACACTTTTATTCCCTGAACTTTAGCTGATATAGATCAAATCAAATCAACTTTATTTATATAGCACTTTTCATACAAAAAAAAATGCAACTCAAAGTGCTTCACAGATTAAAATGGCCCCATAGATCCCATATTCCCATCCCAGCCCCCCTCCCCAAGTATAAAACAATTGACAATTGCATTTCCCCTCCCGCAACCTATTTACAAGGTGGACATACACTCACCCACACACTCGCGCACACACACGCGCGCACATACGCGAACAACAGAGTAAACAATAGGCTGAGTTCAGATGGGTCAGGTAATGGATGACACATCATCAGCGGAGCCATCTGCCCTGACAGCAACAGATCCACGGCAGCAGCCAAGACACCGGCCCATGACGCCCAGGGGGGGGGAGGGTGGAGACCCCCCACCACTACCCGGGCACTACCCGAGGAGCGCCCTGGCCGCCGGCGCCGACCACCGGCCCCAAGGCAGAGGGCTCCGCAGAGGAAACGCTGGAGGATTAAAATATATAACATGTAAAATAACAAAAGCTAATATGGATAAAAAGTAACTGATAAAAAGTGATTATAAAGATAGTAAAAGAAAACATAATCGTGTAAAAACACTAAGATGTAAATAAAATAATAAAATTAAGTAAAAGAGATAAATATGTATATATATATATATATATATGAATAAACAAATATGACAAATGATGCAGTTAAACAGACTAGATAAACAGTAATCAGTTAAAAGCTAAGCAGGTGGGTCTTGAGCCTATTCTTAAAATCCTGGATGTTCCCTTCGGCCCTGAGGTCCCCCGGCAGCCCGTTCCAAAGGCAAGGGCCGTAATACTTGAAGGACGCCTCGCCGTGGGTGTGTGTCTTAACTTTAGGGATAACTAGGAGACAGCTGCCAGAGGAGCGCAGAGACTGCAAGGGTTTATATAGTTAAAGCAGTTCTGAAAGATAAGAAGGCCCGAGACCATTAAGACACTTAAAAATCATTAAAAGAACCTTAAATCGATCCTGAAACATACGGGGAGCCAGTGCAGTAATTCTAGAACCAGAGTGATGTGCTCCTGCTTCCTGTTCTTGATCATCTATCTTCCGGTCGGTAACAAGATGGCGCCTGTGCTTGGCTTAGCTGCAGTCACCGGCCACTTTTTCAAACTTTTCTCCACTAACCTCCTCTTTTCCTCCTTGCTCCTGTCTGCGATCCTCTTCAGTAGTGTCCCTGCTACCATCTCCTATGATCGCCAGACTCTTTTGTCCTTCCGTTCGTTCACGATCGCCCAAGATGCACCGGGGACGTACCTCCCTGTTTGTTTACCTGAGTGGCACACTGGCCCGGAGCCAAACGATGATTCCAATCATGGCGTTTCCAGCAATGTTTATCCGGTCCCGGGAAAACGTTGCTTCCTGGTCTTCATCAGGACACGTGCTGCTGAGTTTTGTAAAAGTTGTAAACCTGAGATGCTCTTTTTGGGAAGACCAGAAAGCAGGGCATTGCAGTAATCAATTCTACTGGTTATAATAATAATAATAATAATAAGAAGAAGAAGCATTTATTGTTATTTCTACCACATGTGCAAGACATACAGAGAAACGAAACAGAGTTTCAGTACACACAATTCAGCAACCTGTCTGCATTCCTTCCTTCGTGGGGGATGATTATTTGCAGCTCCAAGGCTGCCTTGGTGTCAGATTAGGATAACAAGACTGTGTTTGGGTCAGGAAGAGATAATTTTCCCCTCTGCCTTCAGTCTGTAACTGGTCATTCCAGTCCTTCAGTGAAGCCAATTCGGGTTATTAAAATCTCCACACCGTCCGGTGACCCTCTCCGAGATGACATCCAATTTGCGCACTAACACCGGTAACGCAGCTAAGACATTGTCCAGCTTACGGTTCACCTCGAGTAACGTCCCGGTCTGTGAGGTCTCTACCCGGACGGTGCTGTCCATGGGTGCGGGTCGCCCTCCAATCGCTCCCGTCTTCCCAATTTTTCAAAAAACCAGATATCCTCCCATTCCAATCAGAAGAAATCCAGTGATCATCAGGCCAAATATCCACATATCTTCGACATCCTCAATGGACAGCTGAGAGAGACAGACGACCTTCCACTCCTTCCAGAAATCGAGCGTATATCCCGCTGCGTGTGTCCCGTGAGGTCAAGTGGGAGCCCCCTCCTCTGTTCTCATCGTAGAAAAAATCTTATCAATCGCGTTGAATGACCAATTAATTAAATCCATTTCTGAAAAATTGTGATTTCCAGAGGAAATGCAGAGAAGCGCTCTGTAGGCAGACAAGACAAAAAAGAGCCTTGGGGAAAAAAAAGATAAGGGAGCAAAGCAGAAGCGTCTGTGCTCTATGAGTGCCAGGAGAAGCACGCATCAGCGTCTCCGTATTGGCCCGAGAGAATAGGGCGGTCTCTGGCGATATTCTTAAGATGGTAAAAACCTATTTTTGTGATGTTTTTAATGTGGGGAATAAAAGTCAGCTCAGAATCGAAAATAACACCCAGATTCTTCACTTGCAGTGATGGATAAAAAGACATTGATTGTAGTTTAGGTAAAAGTTTCTTTCTCTGGGTCTCAGGACCGATGACTAAAACTTCAGTTTTGCCCTGGTTGAGCTGGAGAAAGTTTTCAGTCATCCATGATTTAATATCTAAAATGCAGTTAAAAAGTGTTTCCATTGGCTGTGCGTCATCAGGAGACACGGAGATGTACAACTGTGGATCATCAGCGTAAGTGTGGAAATTCACCCCATGTCTCTTGATGATGCTGCCCAGAGGGAGCATATAGAGGTTAAAAAGCGCTGGGCCTAGAATTGAACCCTGAGGCACACCGCATGGGATGCTGTGGGCCCCAGAGGAACAGGTATCCAAACTCACCATAAAAGTCCTGTCTGTGAGGTAGGAAGTGAACCAACTGTGAACAGCACCAGAGACGCCGATCTGTTTTAAACGGGTTAAAAGAATAGTGTGGTCTACTGTATCAAAGGCAGCGCTTAGATCCAGCAGAACCAACACTGTTGTCCTCCGGGCATCATAATTAGTTCTAAAATCATTTAAAGATGCCACCAGCTGTTCACTCTTCTGCCTTTAAGCCTTTACTACAGTGAGCTTGTGCGTGTTTGTGCTTTTAGTATTAGTGTGTAGTACAGAGCTATCGGTTGTGTTTAAGGAGCTTTATAAATGATGTTTCTCTGGATCAGAAACTCACCGTCATAACAGACGAAGGGTCTGCTTACAGAACAGTTATCACTCTTCCATCTGCCTCCATCGTCAAACACAGCCATGGCACATTGACCAGTGTTGTATTTATCCATGTTAAACTGTAGATTCCAGAGTCTGAAAGAAGACCTGCTTCCATCTGACCACCTCCAGGTGTCTCTGAACAGACCAGCATAAACTCTTTCTTCTGTTAAAGAGGCCAGTGCTGTGGTGAGTTCTGGATCATGCGTCTGGTGCCATCCACTGACCAGGTCTGTGTGGTTCTCGCTGCAGTATCTCTGAGCTTCCGGCCATTTCAGTTTGAAGCTGATAGGAACGAATTTAGTTGTGTTTTTTTCTGTGGAGAAAACAGATAAACTATCATCACTGTTCAGGTCTTTTTAGATTACATTAAATTAGATTAAATTAGCATAACAAGCAGAAACCCATAATAACAGAGTCAAATTGATTTTATTTTAAAATGTACTGATTTTGAGATGTTTGTCTTGTTGACAAACTTGTCATTAATGTTGTCTGAAACCACGTCATTCACACTGTAATAAATATTTGTTATTTAGGAGTTTTTTAGTAACATTTTTATGAACTGAGTTAAATCTTTATTGTGCTGCAATCTCCATCTGAAGTTATTTAGTGTTAAACTTACTATTTTGTTTAAAAAATACATCCTACATATTTTAGTTTTTCAGGTTTTCTATAAACTCACCATCATAACACACAAATGTTTTGGACCACTTATCACAGGTGTGATCACTCCAGGTGAGATCTTTATATATAACTCCACAGCTCTGAACTGGTCCTGTTTGTCTTTCTGTTGGTGCTCCTGAGCGCCAGTTTGTCTGACTGTCATTGAACTCCACTCCAGGCAGAGACCAGTACCATGTCCTGTTGGCATCTGTTTGGTCTCTCAGACCAATCCAAGCTTCATTCCTGTTCCCTGATGATTCACGGATGAGTCTCTTCATGTCTGCCATGTTAGACACTGTAGCCAGGTCAGTGTGTCTGTCTCTGCAGTAGCGCTGAGCTTCAGACCAGCTTTTATTCTCTCCAACATAGAGATACTCATGAAGCTGACACGTGATGACACAACTCTGAGCTGGAAACAAAGACAGATGGGTGTGATCTCTCCATATGAATGTGTACTGTAACTGTAACTAGTAACTGCAATTGTGATTTAGATCCACTCACCCATCAGAACCAGCAGAATCAGACTCCACTGCATCTTTGCTCTGTCACATGGAATTATCTGTCTCCAGCACTTTGTCTCTGTTGGATGAAGGACACATTTAAACACTTCCTGTCCAGGTTTGAGATGCTGTAGCACTCCCTCCTCTGGACAGAGACACTTAACCCAACCAGAGTAAACACAGCCGACTGAAAAGAAAGAGCTGAAGAGCTCTGCAACAACTCTGATGTCATTAACGTTGTAAATAACAAGTGTTGGCGTTTTTAGTGTTATAATAATATATAATAAAAAACCATATTTGTACTTGTTTATCTTCATATGTTACACTGCTGTTCTGGTTAAAACTGATCTCAGTAACAGGATGTGTTCTCACAGGTCTTAAATGTCACTGTCATGGTCTGTGTCTGCGTCTTTCCCCATGTGTCTCCTGATGTTTCTCCATCCCTCTTTAGATTCCCCTTTTGTGTCTCTTAGCGCCCTCATGTGTCCTTTGTCTGCGTCTTATTTATGTGCCTTCTGTGTGTAGCCTTTCAGGTCATCCCCAGCCCCTCCAGTTGTAGCTCCAGCCTCTTTGTCCCCAGCTTGGTGTGTGTGTGTGTCATTCCCCAGCTTAGTGTGTGTGTGTGTGTGTGTGTGTGTGTGTGTGTGTGTGTGTCCTTCCCCAGTCAGGTCCGGTGTCCTCCCCTGCTCCTTCCTGCTCCTCCTCCCTGATTAGTTATTGCTTTCACCTGGTTCTCTCCCCACACACCTGCAGCTCATCTGCCTCCCATTATGCCCCAGTCTATAAAGCCCTGTCTGTTTCTCCTTGTGTTGTTGGTTCATTGTTGTTTGTCAGCGTTAATTATTCTGTCAGTCTGCCCAGTCCTCTGGTGTTTTTGGATCTCCTGATCATTTCCTGATTTTTGGATTTTGGCTCCCTGCCTTTTGGATTTATTTTTATTTTTGGACTCATCCTACAATAAAAGGATTTTCTTTATATCAACTCCTGCCTCGTGTCATCCTGGGTATATGCATTTTGGGTCCAAACAGTCCTCTCACCGTGACAGTCACCTCCCAGGTATAGTTTGAATATTCAAAAAGGGCGAAGGTACCGCTCTCTGATGCAAAAGCATTTTTATGTCATGCAGTCATATTGTCATTTGTTGTGATGGCTGCTGAGAACCCAGCGGGACGACTTCTGAACATGCAGTGAAAAGGCCAGAGAGGAAGTAACAGCCATAGCATTGCCAAAAAAATAAAGTGCTACAACCTCCCAAGGTGCTTTACAACACAACCAGTCATTCACCCATTCACACACACACACACCTTCTCTGGGGCACACTGAACCACAGAGGTGGGTCTTATACTACATTTCTACAAGCAGCACTCTGTGTTTGTGCTGAAGTGAGTTGCTGTTCTTAACACTCATATTTACTAGTTTTTATATTCAACAGATTGAGATTTGCTTAAAGTTTCCAGTGACATCATGATGGCTGCAGACAACGGGGAGTTCACAGTGTTAGTGTTGTTAGATGTTTCTGCAGCTTTTGACACTGTTGATCACAGCACCTTAATTAACAGACTTGGTGACTCGGTGGGGATCTCTGGAACTGTTCTAGACTGGTTTAGATCGTACCTTTCTAACAGAAGTTACAGTGTCTGTAGAAACCACATCGCGTCAGATTCTACTGATCTGTTCTGTGGGCTAGGGTGATTACCGTAACACACTTTTCACGTTTTAACAAAAAAGCCCTTGACTGCCTTCAGTTGGTCCAGAACTCTGCAGCGAGGCTCCTAACTGGAGCAAACAGAAGAGCACACATCACTCCTGTTCTGCCGTCTCTGCACTGGTTACCCGTTAACTTTAGAGTTCATTTTAGAATCCTGTCTAGAACTTTCAATGCTCTACATGGTCAAGCTCCTCCCTATATTACTGAACTGTTAAAGCCTTATGCTCCAACCAGAGCTGTCAGGTCCACACACCAGAACCTTCCAGAAGTTCCAGAGATTAGATATAAATGTGGAGGTGATCGCTCCTTCCAGACTGTTGAGCCCCGACTCTGGGATGATCTCCCTTTATCCTTACGCAGCGCTGACAGTCTGGACACTTAAAGAAAACAGCTAAAGACCCTTTTTATCTAAAGCTGCTTTTACCTAAACCTTTTATTTTCTCATTTTTAACTCAAATTTTTAATCTTTCATCTGTTCATGAAAATTTATAATTTTATGACTTTATTTGTTTCTGATGTTAATCTGATTGTGCTTTGAGATCATTTAATGATGTTAATCTATTTATGATTTTATGACTTTGTTTTATTTTGTTTTAATCTATGTGAAGCAGTTTGTGATTCTATGTCTGTGATAAGTGCTATATAAATAACATTTACTTACTTACTGTATTAAACTTGAAATCTGATCATTTGAGTGTTGCAGGTTGAGCTGGAAAAGCATGTTTTCCTAACTGCAGCTCTTCTTTATCATCCAAAGTGCTGCAGGTTATATTATTTAACAAAAAAAGGTCGTATGTTTTAACCCTCATGTGTCTGGTTAAAGAAAAGAAACAAAAAAACTAAATCAATTAATTATTTAATAAATAAAGGGAATGTTTAAAAGTCCCATAGTCATCATCACACACCGGTTGAAATTACATCTCTGTATTTGACACTAACCCGTGGGGAGCGGTGAGCTGAGATCAGGAACTATTTGGTGGTTTAACCCACCATTCCAACCCCTTAAAGCTGAGTGTCAAACATGGAGGCATCGGGTCCCATTGACGAGGTCTTTGGTATGACCCGAACAAGACTTGAACCCCATCTCCCAATCCCAGGGCAGATGCTCTACCTCTAGGCCACTGAGAACATGTCTGCAAAAGTTAAAAGATGACTTGAATGAAAGCTCAGTTCTTACTTTTTGGCCGTCTGTCTTTAAATGTGATGATCCCTCTTGATGTTCTGTTGAAAACCCGTCTCAGTATGATGTTCTAACAGGTACAAACTGTGACTGTTTGGAGTCGCAGTTTGAATATTCAAACAAGAGGAAGTGTGTGTGTGTGTGTGTGTGTGTGTGTGTGTGTGTGTGTGTGTGTGTGTGTGTGTGTGTGTGTGTTATGAAAGTAAGTATTTACAGTAAAAGGAACTTTCAGTGGAAGTGTTTGAATAACATTTAAATCTAGGGAAGTACTTCAGTAACTAGCATTTTGTACATGTGCAGACAAAGAAATGTAAAAATAAAGGGGGGGGGGGGGGGGGTGTTAAGCCATAATTCATTCTGTTACTCTCACATTCTACACTAAACTTCTAAACGAGCTCACATCACTCCAGTTTTACAGTCCCTCCACTGGCTCCCGGTAGAATATAGAATACAGTTTAAAGTTTTAGTCCTGACCTATAGAGCTCTTAACAACCAGGCTCCAAGCTACCTATCTGAGCTTTTATCCCCACACACCACCTCTCGGAACCTTAGATCCACATCTGAAAACCTCCTGGTTGTTCCTCGAACCAGACTGAAAACCAAAGGGGACGGGGCCTTTCAGACTATTGCCCCCAGACTTTGGAACAGTCTACCTTCAAATCTCCATCTCTCTAACACTGTAGAGGTCTTTAAAAATCATCTAAAAACTCATCATTTCATCCAGGCGTTCCCTCCCTAAATGTTCTAAAAGATGGCTTTGTTCGGGTTCACACCTTCACTTTGTTTATACTCATGGTTTTATTTTCTACGTTTATAATAATAATAATAATAATACATTTTATTTCAAAGCGCCTTTCAGGACACCCAAGGTCACTTTACACAAAACACGTAATAAAATACAATAAAACAATAATAAAACCGAAAGAAGAAAAAACAGAGAGAAACATTTCAATAAAATCAGAGGTTGTAGGCAGATTTAAACATATGTGTTTTGAGTTTTGATTGGAAAAGGGTAAAACTGTCGATGTTCCTGATGTCTGGGGGAAGTGAGTTCCAGAGTCGAGGAGCAGAGCGGCTGAAAGCTCTGCTCCCCATGGTAGCGAGACGGGCAGAAGGAACCGCAAGATGGATGGAAGAAGAAGATCTGAGTGAACGGGACGGGGTGTGAATACTTATAAGGTCTGAGATATATGGAGGAGAGAGGTTGTGGATTGCTTTGAAGGTATGGAGGAGAATTTTGAAGATGGGCCTGAATTTAACTGGGAGCCAGTGGAGCTGCTGGAGAACCGGCGTGATGTGGTGAAAGGAAGGGGTTCTGGTGATAATACGGGCTGCTGAATTCTGGACCAGTTGCAGTTTATGAAGGAGTTTGTTGGGGAGACCATAAAGAAGTGAATCACTGCTATTGTTTTTCTGTTGTTTTTATTGGTTAGAGGTATTTGCCCTGATCTTTATCATGTTGTACAGCGCTTTGTGATTTATATCTGAGAAAGGCGCTATATAAATAAACTTTTACTTACTTACTACACTCATATTCTCTTTACACATCTGCACACACATATATTCTCTACACATATATTCTTCTTCTTCTGGCACTCGCAGAGTACAGACGCTTCTCTTTTTGCTCCCTTGTCTTTTTTCCCAAGGCTCTTTGTCCTGTCTGCCCACAGAGCGCTTCTCTGCATTTCTTCTGAAAACCCGATTTTTTAAACATGGATTTGATTAATTGGTCATTCAACGCGATCGATAAGATTTTTACAACAATGAGAACGGAGCAGGGGGCTCCCACATGCCCGCAAGGGACACACCTGGCGGGGTATATGCTCGATTCCTGGAAGGAGTGGAAGATCGTATGCCTCTCCCAGTTGTCCATTGAGGATGTCAAAGACGTGTGGATGTTTAGCCTGATGATCACTGGATTTCTTCTGATTGGAGTGGGAGGATATCTGGTTTTCTGGAAATTTGGGAAGACGGGAGCGATCGAAGGGCGACCCGCACCCACGGAAAGCACCGTCCGTGTGGAGACTTCACAGACTGGGACGTTACTCGAGGTGAATCGTAAGCTGGACAATGTTCTAGCGACGATACCGGTATTGGTGCGCAAAATGGATGTCATCTCGGAGAGGGTCACCGGACGGTATGGACAA